TAGCTGATAGGAAATTTGAGCTGGAAACTGGACGTAATCACCAAGAGCTGGCCAGCCTGTTTTGGAACTGTGACAACAGTGTTCCTTCTGGATCTGACAGCCTCTGAACCAACCTTTACAAAGGATCTTACTGATTTTACTCCTCTCAATGTGGCTGTAATCCTCTCCTCCAAAGGGGCTTCATGGCTCTCTGGTACGGGCCTGCTTAAATACAAGGCGCTGCTTACTAAAGTCCACTAATCTCTGCTACAAGAATCTTTCACAAAGAAGGGAATTCCTTTCACTTGGAAATATTCTAAGAAATAAATTAATGAGGGTCTGGGGATTTAGCTCAGTGGCGCCGCTGCCTGCCTCAAAGGTGCAAGGTCCTGAGTCTGATCCCCAGTACCAAAAAAAAAGAAAAGAAATAAATTAATGAAACATTGTCTTACGAAATTTAGACTTTATTATATGATTAGACCACCAAACCCAAACTTTCATTTTAAACAAGGCTTTATTTTGTATTTGTAAAGGGCTCGTTACACAAATTTAGTTAAATTGAACTTTTATGCTTCAAACCGACATACCTTATGGAAACCCAAGGCAAAGCAGCACATACAAGCTGTACTAACCTTAGTATACTGAATCTTCAAATCAGTCAGTGGGGCAGGTATGGCTGGTTTTGCTGAAGACATTTCTGGTTCAGCTCCTGGAACACAGGTGACAGGCTCAGCAATTTGATTCTGATACAGCACTCGGCTTTATTTGTTCCTTTTTATCTGTACTGCCTAAAGTTTATTTGCATGTTGGGATATGATTGGATGAACAGACTGGGAGCAAAAGAGAAAGTACACTACTTATTTGTAACATCTAGGCCAAAAAACTTTTGACTTTGAACCTAAATCCTTGAGAAATCAGCACTGCAACACTGAAATAGCACCAGGAGACAGGGCACTATTTGCAGATGAATTAATTTACAAACTGGAAACTTGTGATAAGGATATGCAGCAAAGCTGCTCGTGCCAGTAAACAAAGTTATTATTATTATTATTGGATTTTCATAATTTTTTATGCTACTGTGTAACTTTCCACTCTCTGATAGACTTGGAATCAGAGAATCTGGGAACTGAAAGAGTCCAAAAGGTCAGTTGCTCTCAGTAGAAGATGGGAGGAAAACCCTTTACCAGGAGTCTCAGGACAAGGCCTGCAGCAAAGCAGCCATCTTCCAGAGAACCAGGGGTTGGAGGGGAACAAAGGCCCTTTAGGCTCTACCCTAAGCCAGCTTTTTAAACCTAATTGTTCAGGGATATTTTCAGTGCTGGGTGAGTATACCTACTGTGATTTCAGAAGACCTAAATTATATATATTTTCTGTGCAGAAACAGAAAAGTCAGCAGGCATACAGTACAGAGTCCCCACAATCAGCAAAGTGACAAAGTCATTTGTGAAAATCCATTTAAAACTAAAGGAAATTCTGGCTTTGAAAGGTGTTTGCCTTTGTCAATCACTGCTATAGACAAGCATACAAAAATTTGAAACAAGACTCCTAAGTAATTCAAATTCTTGGTGTTCAAGCTGGAAACTTGCAATAAGCACCATTTAAAAGTGACCTAGTCTCATGTTAAGTACCCTGTTTTATTGCATTGAAGCTCCCAGCAAAAATTCTAATAAGAACAAGATAAATGTTTTGGATGCTCTGATTATTATGAATTAACAGAAAGAATTTCCTTCCAGTGAAACTGCTAACTTCCCTGAATATGGATTGAGATGGGAAAGCTATTATTGATTAGTTTTCTCAAAATAGAAATAGGAATCTCAGTTTTCTTTCCATCTTCATTTGGTATCCCCATTCTGTAGACCTAGAAAGAGTGAGTGGCTTACTGATAATCACAGATCTAATAAGCACAAGGCCAACATTTCAGTGTCATCTCAGGCCTGTCTGTCCCCAAAGCCCAGGTCTGGCCCTGACCCCCACCCCACTTCACGTCATCCATAAGAAGATTCCCAGATAGGTTCAAGAATCAGCAGCTGTGCTGCTCCCTGTGCATAGTCACCCACACAGGTGCTTAAGCCTAACTTTTTATTCATCTAAGGCGGGAACTGGCACACCTTTTTGTGTTATGGGACAGATCATAAATACCTGTAGGTTCCTGGGCCAGAGGATTTCTGCTATAACTTCCTCTACTTTGTTTAAAAGAAAATGTAGACAGTAGCTAAATTAATGAGTGCAGACATTTTTCACTAAAATTTTGTTTACAAAAAGGTGGAAGGCAGGAGACATTTTTGTGGCATAGGCCAGTCCTCTAGATTCTAAGGCAATTCCATTCCATTCCAAAGTCCTAGACTACCCTGAACCTCCTACTTGATGAACAGATAGACCTTTCTGTGTCCTTTCAACATTTCTCCTTTTCTCTCTCAAGGCTTTTCTTCTGATAAGTATAACTGTTTTCTCTTTCATAAATGTGTTTTGAGTTAAATGCACAATTAC